GATTACAAGGTTAGATCATAAAAATAAAAAAGAACACGACTTATTTGCAGTATGCATGGGGCACAGCCCACTTCACTAAGTAAAGGACCCCCCTAGATTTAGGATGTTAAATAATGAAAATGATACCTGATTAACCAACAAGAAGTATGCACACAATGCCACATGATAGAATAGCCATGCCCATGAACAATCAATTGGCTCTTTTTCACTGGTAGGGACATACCATATCTATCGGCCTTATTGTTATTGTGCACCTTGTGAGCATAATGGAATCCTGAAGGGAATTGTTTGAATGTTCCCCTAATCTAACAAAAGACAGGTAAGAGCAAATCGCAGCATGCGGAATTTCTACGATTCACCGGTGCATTGGTGAAGGAAATGATGAGAATGGTTCATGGCTTTCATAAAAACTTAATAACTTTACCCTGTGGGCTTGCTTATAATCAAGGTTTTTTTTGGAAGGGTGTCTAAAGCTATACCTTGACTAATCCCGGCCAATTGTGACTGCAAAATATCAATCCTAATAAACTCACTGGCTACATACAATCAAGTTCTGCACTCCTATCTAGCGATTAGCGTCTCCTTTATCCTTTTTCTGTCTTTAATCATATCATGGTAAAATCTAATAACAAAAGGAACAAATAGCAACTAAACTGAACTTGTACAACAGCAGCTAAACAAAAGCAGTAGAAATGTCAAAAGATCAACCGAAAGCAACAACAATTTATATTAGTTTGCAGCTTTACGTAAAATTACGAATACTAGTTTTCTTCCAGTTATTATATAGAAATGTAAACAAAGAACAAGTGTGTGGTAAGCCAACCATTTTAGTAATTAGAAACACTTGAGAGTCCACCACATTACCAACAAAAGCCTTTTATCCAAAACTAATTGGGACTTGGGGTAGGCAACAACTGTGTCAGGGGTATTCATCGGTTCCAATGATGTACCCCTGCACTCCAACTCGAAGCATGATATATCATCATCCTCAATTACAACATGACCCAAACCTAGCAATATTCTACCAGTAGTTTAGGTGGGACTCCAGCAAATCCCTTGTGTTCACCAATCTGAAAAACAAATAATGGCTTACCGAATCATCGACGGGGGTGGTGCGGCGACGACCGAGGGTGGTGCGGTGGCGATGGGGACGAGGGAGACGATGGTGTGTGAGCATTAAGCGGCGAGAGGGAGAACGAGACGGGAGGGAGGCGGTGGTAGGGAGAAGATGAGGCGGTAGTCAAATTTTTAAGGATTTTTTAGGTTTTTTTTTTTAAACTTAAGGTTTACCTTGTGTTCAAGTTACAAGTTACATTATTAAGAAATAAGGATCTATTTAACATGTTTTAAAAAGTTCAATGATTTAATTAACAAATTCTAAAATGTCCAAAAATTTATTTGTTCCAAAAAATTGTCCAATAACTTAAACGTTCCAAACTGTAAAATCCATTGGATTATTTTTGACTTTTCTCTTTATTTTAACATATTTATAATTTTATATAGTTCGATGGTGTACTTTCAAACCTTTTATTCACTTGGATGATTAACAAATCATAAATTACGTGTCAAAATCACATATTTTGATTCTTTTGGGATCAAATATGAATTATTTGTATTTGGAGGGGGTAATCGTAGGAAACCCCAAAAAAGAAGGAAAAAAAGAGGCAAAAACAAATGCACAGTAGTGCTGATTACTGAACTTGAGAGCCGCCGACTCAAATCCTCAACTCGAAGCCATCCGAAAATGGGGAAGAACGGGAAGAAACAACACCAAAACCAACGTAATCGCAAGCCGGCATCGTACTATCTCGAAGACGATGAACAACAAAGTTACCCTTTAAGTCAGCCGGCGCCTTCTTTTCAGTCCGATCCTAATTCAAGCCTCTCCGACGAAGAAACAGAATCAGACGACAAACAAGACCAAAACCCATCAGTTGATGATGATCATCTCCCATCGAAGTTCTCACTTTATCAGCAATCTGTACAGGTATATATTTAGTTACACAAAACCCTTCATTTTGTTGGGGTTTTACTTGATTTTTAATGCGGTGAGTTGTTGGGTTTCTTGATTTTTATTGCAGTCGCCTAAAGGAGACATTAGTTATCTACAGAAGTTCTTTCTGACTTATGTTGGTGGGAGGGCACCCCTCCATCTCCAAGAAGATTTCTGTGGCACTGCTCTGCTCAGGTGCTTTGATTCGATATATATGTGTGTGGGTGTGTGTATGGTCCAATTCAAACGAGAAGCTATAACATTTTACAAGAACGCAAGAAGTTTCAGTATTATATGATTAAGCATGTATGCTTTAACAACGTATAGAACGCACCAAAAGGAGTGTAATCATATATGATAACTTCTCTACTTCTTGCGAAATGTTTTAACTTCTCGAATGATCCTTCCATTCTCTCTCTCTCTATATATATATGAATTTGAACATTATCTTTATTGAAGTAATCTGATCCGAATGCTCTATTGTTATGCGACCTGTTACACATTTTGGACCAGTGGTAACTTATTGGTATGGTCTATTATCAGTTTTGATGTGGGTATCAAAAAAAAATTACTCGTGAAGTTTCAAATTACTGTCAGTTTAAGTAATTCTTGGAATCTTGATCTTAGACTTTGCCATAAAGATAAGAAATGCTAATCAATCTGAGTAATTCTTGGAATCTTAGACTTTTGTGTATTCTTGAATGGTTTTTTAAATAGATAAGAAATGCTAATCTTTCAATCTTATGATGTAATTATAGTACAGAATGGCTTCGGAGTGATTCAAGAAGAACTGCTGTAGGTTTAGATCTGGATGTTGAGGCTCTTGATTGGTGCATGGAGAACAATGTTAACAAAGTTGGGGCTGATTTATCTTCCAGAATTTTTCTGTACCATGGGAATGTTTTGCAACCTCTTGAAGCTAAACTAGTAAAGTCCAATCTTCAAAACATCATGCATAACGTAACGCTTGAAGAGAAGGGAAATGGTTCTGAATCCATTGCCGATTCTGAAGCACTTCCGGTTCCACCTAGAGACATAATATGTGCTTTTAACTATAGTTGTTGCTGCCTCCATAGTCGTCAAGAACTCATTTCATATTTCAAACATGCCCTTCATGCGTTGTCTAAAAAAGGCGGGATTTTTGTGATGGATCTTTATGGAGGTACATCATCCGAATGTGAACTTAGGATGCAAAGAAGATTTCCAAATTTCACGGTAATTACTTAAATCAATTTTTATGTTTTATTTGCCTTTTGACATTATATATACCATGTGATGATGAGAGATGTAAAAGGTCTGAATTTTCCAAGAAAATGTCTAAATATGGATAAAACTCATTATATTCAAAAGGGTTTTTTATATCTTCATTTCTTGTAAACGGGACTTGGCATCAAACAATTTGAAGGCTGTTTTCATTTGATCTTTTGTAGCGAAACCATGATTCTTGAAAATTTGTCTTACTTTCATGTCGGATTACGTTAGTTTTAACATCCATACTTTGCCAGTATACCTGGGAACAAGCTGGATTTGACATCATTCAAAGGAAAACTAGAATCAGTCTACATTTTACTCTGCAAAAGCAACAGAAGAAGAAACTTCGCCATGCATTTTCTTACAGCTGGAGACTGTAAGTAAATTTCTCTATTTTATACTTCAATACTTTCCCCGTTGTGGATCCAAGATTATCTTTTGGCCCACATTTGGGAACTATCTGAACCGAGTCATAATTGTGCCCAGGTGGTCATTGCCAGAGATTAAAGATTGTTTGGAAGAAGCTGGATTTCGGTCTGTCCATTTTTGGATTCGCCAAATGCCAGACAGCGAGAATATCAAAAGCATGGAAGGGTTTGGTGCTGCTCGAGATATCAAGTACGAAGAAGTTACAAGTTTTCAGCAGCAAGACTCATGGAATGCTTATATTGTTGGTGTTTCATAGCGATTCCTCTAGTTCAGTCTTTTCTGCCAAGTGATATTAATGGTAAAATGGTAGTTTTTTAGCTGTTATGTTCTTGATCAACATGGTGCATTGAACAACAGACTCTCAACAGTTCTTTTAGCTGTTATCTTTTTACTGAAAACTTGAAGCTGTTTTTTGAAATTTGCTTTCTTGGTCAGGCCCGTGTGTTAACAGCTTAATGAGACTCACAACTTATCTGGCCAGCTGTATATGATATGATCATTTGGTGGTGGCTTAATCATGCAAAAAGCCAAGTTCTTTCAAATCTGTTATCCGAATTAAAGAAGACACTTCTTCAATCTATAAAAAAATCCTCTCAAACAAAAATCTTTTCAATCAATACAAACAGATTAAGTCGATACTGAAAATTTTATTTATACATGACTTAATGTAAAATCATGGTAATCAGCTCCAGCAGATGAAAACAAATGACACCACTTTCATTGAGTTACTTGGAAAGCACATTTTGCTTTATTTCTAGTTGAAGCTGACCCATGAAATTGGTTAAAGTATGGTGAAAGCTGTTGATAGTTGACATGTGCATCATTGCTTTCTTTTTTGCTTTTGCTATTTGGCTCCATTTTCTTCAAATAGTTTTGGTTTATCTATACTATATTATAAAGTATTTTATAAAAACTCTTAAGAACCATTTTTTATGTATGAAATATTGTATATTGATGCATATTACTTAAAATTCAACATTACAAGTAAATTATGTATAAGTACAACTTATTAAAGTTTCATGTTTGAATTCGTGTAACTAACTGCGGATAAACATAACCAAATAGAGGATAAACATCTCATTCTAAAATATAATTAGGATAATTATCGAGTTCTAACAAAATAATTAATTATTATCTTTATAAGAAAATTATATTATTAAACAAAATATAAATTACTTCATTATTGAACCTAAATTAAATTACAATAAAAAAAATTGAATTAAAAAATTACACAAAAATAGAAATTTTAAATAGTTAATTTGATACTAATATCGATATATTTTTGTCATTTTTTATGATATTTTTAAAATTTATATTTTATTCAAAAATAAAAACATTATCGTTTTATTCAAAATTAGATAAGATCATACTATAACATCGACTGAGATAAAGAATAAAATAAAATATTAAAATCAAAATGTATCTCGTTGCATTGCACGAGTACCCTTCTAGTATTATATGATCATACTAATCTAAATAAATAAATTATTGTTTAAATGGATTTAATTAATTTTTAATGGTTATCTTTTACACCCTTTGGTATTATTTACCTTTCAAATCTCATAAGAAGAGTTGTCACAAAACTATTTTTATTTAATTTCATATATTTAAAATTCTTTTTATTCATCTACATCGTTAATAAATAATTCACTTAAGATGTTACAAATCATGCTTACAATTGTTTATCACATCATCTTGATGGTATAAAGATCGGTTTAAAAAAAGAATTAACATAAATTATAATTAAAATAAATTTTTAAACAAATTTTTAAAAATAATTTGCTTTTATCATCTTAGAGCTAGACTAGTTTGGTTTTTAGCCAACTTAGAAAGAAAATCAAAGCTTATTTGTATAGGTAAATTGCATGAAAAAATATCGTACTTTAACTTGATTCCTATTTTTGGTAACGTAGTTTCAAATTTCCATTTTGGTACCTAAAAATGTAAAGTTTTAATCATTTAAATACTTACCAAAATGGAAGTTTTAAAAGTACGTTACCCAAAATAAGAATAAAACTAAAATACAGTATTTTTTCATGCAATTTATCATATTTTAGAAATAAATTGTATAAAAATGAATCGAAACCATAGATATCATTCATTAATTTTCTTTCTTTTCAAACAACCATGTATGATTTTGATGTTTTGATAACTATAATTTCAAGATTTTGATATTGTATTATGGGAAAATTGTATTAAAATGGAACCAACTTTTACCTGATTTCTATTTTGGGGAACCAACTTTCAAAATCGTCATTTTGGGGAACCAACTTTCACCTGATTCCTATTTTGAGGAACCAACTTTCAAAATCGTCATTTTAGGGAACCAACTTGCACTTGATTCTTATTTTGGGGAACCAACTTGCAAAATAATTACAGAAAAATGGGAAAATTACACCAAAATGGAACCAACTTTCACCTGATTCCTATTTTGGGGAATCAACTTTTAAAATCGTCATTTAAGGGTCTCTATCAAACTTTTGTTTATTTAAGGGTCTGGTTGATCTGTTGAACATGTAACAAGTAATTTAAGGGTCTCTATCAAAGTTTTGGTTGGATTTGCCAAATTTGATTTAAACTTTAATATTAACACAGATTGGTTAGATATAAAAATCTTGAATGTGATATTTAATATTTTTTTTTGCATCAATTATTTTTTTTTCTATTAAATTGATTTTTTTATTGCATTAACAAAAAAACAATTTTTATCGTGGTAATTTGGATTTTTTTCGAAAAAATCTTCAATTTGATATTTAAATTAAAAAAAACGATATTTGAAATGAAAAATAGATTTTATTGCATTAAATTTTTTAAAAAAAATTTTTTTGGTTATTTTTCTATAATTATTTTGAAAGTTGGCTCCCCAAAATAGGAATCAGGTGCAAGTTTGTTCCCCAAATTGACGATTTTGAAAGTTGGTTCCCCAAAATAGGAACCAGGTGAAAGTTGGTTCCCCAAAATAGAAATCAGGTGAAAGCTGGTTCCATTTTGGTGCAATTTTCCCTTGTATTATTATCTATAAATAGCAAAACTCTTGATCAAACCTTTACACATTTTTTACTTATTATTATCTATAAATAGCAAAACTTTTGATCAAACCTTTAAGTGTTACGTGTGCTTATCTGTCGTATATTTTTTATTTATAAATAAACAAATAAACCTGTTACGTGTGGCAGGTACATGATGTAAAAGAAATTCATCATGATTTATTGGATAATACAGATACAAGTAATTTTGCTTTAAAAATATGATCTAAATAATTATAAGTAAATAAAACCTTAAAGTGACATTATATACTTTCAATTCCGTTTCTTAGGATATTAAATATGAGATTTGAACTACATCATTGACTTAATTCTGTTATTATTTAACGAAAACTTTTAACGGCCGTTGGACTAAAATCCAGACACTTTTACAAACTACTTGAAAATGTTAATTTCAACAAAGTACAAGGACTAAATTTGTAGTTCACTTTAAAGTATAACAGTAGATGTTAGTTCCTATTTGCAAATAAACCTTCCCAAGATTCTCTCTCTCTAATGCCGTCCCATTCCCAAGATAAACAACGAACCACGATTGAATTCAATAATCAAACCCCAAAATGCACATGTCACCCAATTTCTCCATTGATTCTACAACAATGAAGAAAAAGATCTACTTCAACTCCATATTTAGCAAGCTATGACGGCGGAGATTTATAGCTTCTTCCGATCTCGATCTGTAACTGAATCTGTTTCCGTTTCTGGATTCAACTTCGACAAGGACCACAGAAAGGGAATCATCATGATGAAGCGGTCGGTGCGTCCTTTGTTCAGTGTAGTCTTTGTTTTTGCCGCCGCCGCTGCCACTCTTTGTTTCCGGATTATTGTTTCTGGTGGGGCCGGAGACCCGTTTGTTGCAAGTGACGTGGGAGAAATCCAGAAGCTTCCCCCGGTGTTCAATGCTACTTTGTTGACGTTCGCTGCGGTTGATTTGGCTCAAGATTCATTGAGGCGGGACGTCGAACAGTTGGTGGACGGGAACTTTCGAAACGCTCGAAACAATCGCCAGCGTTCGTTTTTGTCGGCAGGGCGATACCGTTTGGATATTGGAGCAAGGTCTGCTAGGGGTGGTCCTCTAGACCTCAGGTCACCGGAGTTTTACAGACTCTGGTTGGAATCCCGGCGATATTTGCAAGATTGGTGGCGCCACCGTCGTTTCGAGTCTGACGTAATGTCCAACATGGTCAACGTCACTTCAAAAATGGCCGGAGTTTTGGGATCCGGGAGGAAGTACAGGACCTGTGCCGTTGTAGGTAACAGTGGTATCTTGCTCAAAGGTAATCTTGGCAAAGCAATCGATAGCCATGAATTCGTTATCCGATTAAACAATGCAAGAATCGGGGGTTTCGAACAATTTGTGGGTTCAAAAACAAGTCTTTCGTTCATGAATAGCAACATCCTACACTTATGTGCTCGTAGAGGAGGTTGTTTTTGTCACCCATATGGAGAAAATGTACCCATAATGATGTACATGTCCCAAGCTGTGCATTTTCTTGACTTCGCTGTCTGTAACACATCGCACAAGGCCCCGTTGATGATCACTGATCCGCGGCTCGACGTGTTAACTGCGCAGATCGTTAAGTATTATTCAGTCAAGAGATTCTTGAAAGAAACCGGAAAGCCGTTAGAGGCATGGGCTTCCCTTCATGGAGGAGCCGAATTCCATTATTCCTCCGGCATGCAGGCCATCATGGTTGCTTTAGGGGTGTGCCAGAAAGTCGGCATCTTTGGGTTCGGCAAATCGGATTCAGCCAAGCACCATTACCATACGAATCAGAAAACAGAGCTTAGTTTGCACGATTATCTGGCAGAGTATGATCTTTATCAAGATCTAGTGGAGACACCTGAAGCCATTCCCTTCGTCTCAGATAAGTTCAAGTTCCCTACTGTTATCATGCATAGATGACACATTTTAGCTCTTCTTTTCTTAACACTTGTTCAGCAATTCCCACTTCTGTTGATGTAAAACATATTACAAGTAGATACACAATATATAAACTGTAAACATCGAATTTTCAAGAAATTCATTTATGTTTGTTGTCATTGAAACGAAGACGACCTTTTGTTTTTTATTGAAGATGGTAGCTTTGGATCAGCTGGTGAGCCACATATAGATACAATGTGATATATGTATACATAAACCCAGTACAAGATAACATATATCCGATAATACATGATGCCTTCTATCGTAGTAGATGAAGCCATCAAAGATTTTTACAGCAAAATAGACGATTAGCGTCAACCCACCATAGCAACCCTAAGTTTCCATATTTAGAAAGGCAAAAACGTGCCCACATCAACAGTGGCACCACCAGGATCAGTTTCTATCTATACACGACCATCTTACTGCACGGGAGCATCCGCACCAGCAGGATCAACTTCTTCGTACTCGACATCTTGCTCTTCGAATTTCACTTCGACCAGAAACCTTATGCTTACCTGTGACCCAAAGCGAACAAATAAGCAAATATGCAAAGCACAAAAAGAGAAAGTTAAACTGCTGGACTTTCAGGTGTTACCTGTTTCGGATCATAAACAGCATACTCATTATATTCGAGAGGACTGTCTTTATGCTCAGAGGCAACCAAACTCCCACAAGGCACCTTAATGTCGTCCTTCCAAACAAAATGCTCTTTCTCATCGGTTTTCTTTCTTCCCAATCCCTTCACTCCAGCCTTCTTTTCTTCTAGAGACTTGGGATCCTGCAAATAACTCGCTTATTTTTAGTTAAAACTCACTTACCCATAACCAGAGCCAGCAGGGCTAACGCACCTCAGGCGGAGAGGTCACTTCCATAATGTCATTGCCTAAAGAAGCTACAGCTAAAATTAGAAATCCTTCTGGTCTGTCCACAGCAGTATACCCAAATCTAGCAGCTTCAGCTGCTGCATCAGAGCACACGATCGCCCTACCGAACTGTAATAATAGAGTCAGCAACATACATACAGATGAAACTTCGATGAAGACGTTTGAAGTTTGGACAATGTAGTTGCTCCTTACCATGTATCCCGAAACTGGAAGTGTGCATACGGCAGGCAAAAATCCTTTATGCAAGTGCCTTACTAGATTTGAACTTCTTGTACCTGCAAGTTATTAAATAGAAGTGAATAAAGAGACAATCTTTAAGCTATACCAAACATGATTCTCTAAGGGTCACTTACCACACCAAAGAAGAACTTTATTTGGGAGTTTCTTGATTTCATCATAGGAAGGTCCTGCACCAACTTCTACTTGGAAGATGTTCTGAACGGCGGCTCCATAACTCTAAAACCACCAACCCAATAAAAACATTAGATGGTCGTAGACTACTAAAGAACAAGAGATATAGCTAATGGTAAGTCTTACAATTTCCCCAACTTTGACAGGCTCATAAGTTTTATCAACATATTTAAGGATCATCTTGTAGTCCTCTGATTCCTTCTCCAGAGGAGAAATGGAGCATCCTAACCTCTTGTACCGATCAAATAGTGGATCATCAATGGTAGCACCAGTCATATCCTCTATAATCCGTGATGCCACATTTATGTCCCTCACAGTTTCAAGTACAGATGCACCCTAACAAATATGAAGAGTTGTAGTAATTAGGTAACACCAACAATAGATAATGGGTCACCAAAGGGTTCAAGTGGCTCTACACAGGAGGTAAATAAGTTCGCCAAATGCGGAGTATTTTTGTGTATATGAATGTTATGTACTTAAAAGATAACGTGTTGAACCCGACTATGATTGCTTACATGATCTGCAAGATCTTGAGTATCTCTAAAGATGAAGGGCCTTGTAGAATGCAATAGTGTGAACCATCTTTGGCTGAAGTCTGACCATATTGCGCCAGCTTTCTGCTCCTCTTTCGTAGTTGATAAATTCTCCACAAACTCCAGTAGAACCTCTTCGCCTGAAGATGGGTTTCAAAAACATCAGCAAAAGAAACCATATCGAATGCCAGATGGAATCTAAACTTGAACTCACATCTTCTTATATGCAAATCAGTGAGCATGGCCACAGGGAGGTCAGGTGCATCGAGTCCTAACTCCATTAAAGCATACCTGTATTATCCCAATTGTTATAATTGATACTATAAACTTTAGATGGTTGATTTTTAAAGATTCATGCCTGTAAATTTCTTGACTGCAAAGGACTTTCATGAAATTAGCCACCAATGGATCAAGCTTGCAATGAGCTGCAGCTGTGCCAAGCTGCCTAATCCCCAAACCTCCATATCTCACATCATACCCATCATCCTGCATGAAATGATAGATGTTTACAGAGCCAAAGCTTTTCTAGGAGTTCTTATTCGAAATGGATGACAACTCCTCACCATGTCAATTGGGAAAAACTTCTGATGTTTCTTTTGAATTTTCTTCTCTCTCTCCCATGGCTCAAACTCATTTCCAGTCAACTCCTCGAACAGTTTAGCAAACTCCTTGATCGTGTCATCGATGTTCTCCCTTTCTTCAACCCTTTCTTCTGCTCTAGGATCAGCACCAACTTTCCCCCTTTTGAAGTATAAATGCAACCGGTTCTCTGGTACCATGATCAGTTGCATCACGCAGAACCTGCAGGAAAGCAACATATATAGAACATTAACCACCCTTAAAAGAGGAAAAGGGGAACATTAGTAGGGCATTGAGATTACTCGTTCACTTTTCTGCCTCTGTCGCAAACTGAGAATGCACAGTTGTACAAGATTCCATCTTTCTCAAAGATGACGCCTCCTTCTTTGTCTAAATTGCTATCTTTGTGAACCCCTCTTTTACCATACATCTTGAGCTGCAAGAACGCAACGAACCCACATAAAAAAGATAGTACTCCATTGAGAAAGATGTGAAAAATGTTAGAAAGACGTTTACTTCTGCATTTAAAGATTCAAGGGCTTCTTGACTGGGATCTTGCATAGCCCACGGAATTCCTTTGCCATCAACAGCAAGATCACTAACAACATCATAGGCATCCAAAGGCAGTGGTTCTTGTTTTTCAATGCTATCACTCAACCAAGCTTCACGTACCACAGGTATTTCTCGTTCTCTGAGAGTTGAATAGTTATATTTAGACCAAAACTCCAGAAAGTGGCTAGTAATCTCTATGTAAGGAAAAGGGCAAGAGCTAACTAACAATGCTTCTGTAACTTTTGAGGAGCCTCCTCGATCTCGTTCGGATGGAGACACAACTAAACAGGTCGCTCCTGTATACAAAAGCAGGTTGTTAAGAGTATTTTATCAAGTGACAAGGTGCTACTAGTTCCTCTTGGTTAGTAGTACCGATTATATGGTTGGCTACTTTTCCACCATGCTTTTCGATCTTAGACTTCCAATATTGCTGCACAAAGATCCATAAAGAACAGTAAAACAATCTTGCAAACTGAGAGAATCGAAGAACATAATGGTGAAGACACTCACATGGGTGCGAGAAAGTCGACCAGATAGAGATATAATCATCCCTGTAAAGGGTCTGTCTGTGGGCTTCATCTCTCTCTTTGGTCTCCCCTTTGGGTCTTGGTGTTTCAGCAGCAACTATATGGTTACATATCATGCTAAAAAATGAGACAAGTGGTGAAATCATCGTAGCTAAAACAAAGCATAAAAGAGGTAGAAATTTACATCAGAAATGCCGGATTCCTGCACAAAATCAGGGAATCTAATCGGCTCTTCCAATCTGGGAGGCTCCCTGGTGTTGTAAGTGCAAGTAGACCACTCACTGTACGATCCTGTGCAGGTATAATTTTGACCATCGTACCTCAATGTTCCCCCACAAACAGGACACTCTCTTAACGCCCCGTAAAACATCATATCTTGGCTGTACAGCACATACACGATTTGCAAAATTTATGTGATGCCTGCCAACTGTTAGCGTTTTTGCCTATATAAGAACACTTCTTAGAACTTACCATCTTGGCACGACGGCGTCATCAGAGCCGGAAGCGTCGGCGTTATTGGCTTCGAGGATTTCTCGCATCTGATCAATGGAGAGATGCTGACTTGTGGCTTTACAGAAGTTATCAAACTCAGCCACAATGTCAGATAAGGGTTTGGTGGTTGCATTGCCGTTTTGGTTGTCTTCCGATTTAGGTTTCTTGTTTGGGTGGTCCTGTTGTTTCTCGGCCTTTTGCTTTCTGGTCATGATTTTCTCTTCGTCTCCAGAAGGATGATTCTGTGATTTTGATTCGTGAACCTTCATGATTGCAGTGTGATGATCCTTATCCAAAGCAGGTTTAGTGGTTGCTTGAAAGAACAGAGGTTCAGAACAAGAACGGCGAGGTTAAATTTATGGTGTATCGGGGAGGTGGTGGTGACACGTAGGTTTTCTGTGTCTCATCCCTTGCTTGACATCTGTAGTTATGAGGTACACGTGTCCTCCAATTTTCACCCTTTTGGTATGTGTTGCTTTACTCCCTTTTATTATATAAAATCTTGAACGAGAGATTCCTCCTCTTTTTCAATGAGATTCAAGACATGCATGCCTTTCAATATAAAACCTGAGATGTCTACCAATTTATTTATCATGTTTAATTTATTTAGTAATAACAAATATTTATTTATAGTTAATGGTAATAAATAAGACGAGATTGCCTTCTTGACTAAGGCATCTCATCCAGAAGTCAGTCAAGCAAGAAGGAAGACAAGAAAATGCTCATAACCACTACTTGTGAACAGCTCTCCTCAACTGAAGGCGCACCTACTGTTACTAGAAGTCTAGTCTCTCTCAGGTCCAGTTTCGATCTCGAACTACAACATAGGCGGAAAAACAGATATTCAGAAAAGTCGATTCTCTGTCCTGTCTTAAGAACCTGACTCAAAAGTATAAAGAAGACTGGATTAAAAGAGATCTCACTTTCAACGATTAAACTCCACTATCATATCAGGTTTGCACTGGAATTCATTTTCAGGAATCCTTGCTCCTGACTCATATTCACATAGATCACCCATAAGAATAAGACGTTCAAATCCCTCAAGCACGTGTAATTGAGCGAGTCAGAATATCAATGCCTTGGGTAAATGTCTACCTTCGGGAGAATCTTACCGAACGACTTTCAAACCTGTCCTCTTCGCTTCCCAAGAGATTGGATTTAGGTAAAAGGGCCTTGTCGGCCACCGCTTGCTGACGACGGAACGCATCGTCAATAAAAGAAAAGGGTCCTCGCGTTGGACTTAGTGGGAAAGGTAGGGGTTCGACATGTCCCTTGCTTGCGAACTTTTTAACTAGGGCGCTGGAGGTCCCATTCCTCACTTTTTATTGTTGTCCCATACTTCACTCTTTCAACACTTGTATACTTTACTCAGACACACCCCTATCCCGGTCTCTTATGATCCACCGAGTTCATAATGTTGGGGTCCCTCTCTCTAAAGCTCTATCACACTTCCCCTTGCCGATTGAAGTGAAGAAAGCCTTATATTATATGGTCTCAACGAGAAAAGCCCTTTCTATCTTCTTAGTTATTAGTAAAGCCTAAAAAGGCCCTGCAATCAAAGTCAAGTGGTAACGAGCAAGAAAACGGATGCGCTAACGTTCAATGGCTTTCTAAAGCTCAATACGTTGCTTCTTGCTTTTGATCCGGAGTTTGATGGATATCGAGTCCGTGAAGGTTAAATAAGACTTATGTTAAGCAAGCAAAGTAGTCAATCCAAAGAGGGGAAAAAACATCATCTCCCTCCTCTCTCTCTCTCTCTCTCTCTCACTCTATATATATATATATATATATATATATGAACCCCCAAAACTATCGTAAACTTAAAAATCATTGCATCATGTGATATTTCACGTGTTCTTTTAATCTAAGACTAAGTTTAAGTTATCGATTAACATATATTGTTCCACAAACGTGAACTATTTTTAGGTGTTTGTAAAACAGAAAATACACCTCAAAAGTAAAAATTCATACAATTATCAAATACAAATAAAACAAACACATTCTGGAAAGAAAAAAAAAATCAAACAATATCTCAAATTAAAAATTCATACAATTATCATGATACATGAATATGAGACTATCTTTTGATCGTGATATATAAGATTTATTATAGTTGGAGTTGTTAAAAAGTTTTTCCATTTCAACCCTCCATTTTAGACTTTTATATCAATTTAACCCTCCTGTTCACACTTCAAAGGAGGTGGAAGTGGAAGTGAAGGCATGCCGTTGATACCGGAGATGTTGATTTCCCGTGATTGACCCTTTAACCCCTTTTTGTTTTCTCACTATTATTTTCATCTAAATATATAACTTTTACTTACACACATAATTTAATAAAAAATATGTATTAAAATGATGTACAATAGAAACACCAAAGAATGCTAATTTGAGCTAACATTTTGTCAAAAATATTACACATAAGGAGTAGCGAAACACATGCTTTTAACTGCAGTGGTCGTACTTAAGGAAAAGTGGAAAAAATAAATCTGTTATATAGTAGACTAAGTTTTACCTACTTAAAAGATAAAAAATCGTAGGGGCCCTGGCCCCAAAAGCCGCCCCTATGAAAGAAAAACAACCCAAGTTGGTGAATTCATTTATGAAAGAAAAACGCATTTATTAGTAGCATAAATGATATAGAATACGGTTTTAAAGATGTAGTATTTATTACAAGTGTTCATTTGTTTTGAGACTAAATGAACGTATTTTTTTTAGTTTGTTTTAAAATATATACAATATTTTTAAATAAATGAAATCATAAATATTTAATAATAATTAAACATTTTCTTAACCTATATATCAGGTCAAATATTATATTTATTTTTTTAAAAAAAGATAATTATATTCATACCCCCTCCTATTGAGGGAAGAAATATGTGGTATGTGAGGGGGAGGGTATAAAGAGCAACCGCTTGAATTTTTTTTTTTTTTTTTTTTTTTGTAAAAAAAGACTTATTTTTTACAAGATTGTTTTGATTTCAAATGTCTGTCGCATAGTGAAATCCTGAATCAATTATATTTTTATTTTTATTGTTTGTCCATTACCAATAACTTAAAGATATATTTGTAAAATTGTCGAAACGAGTCGAAAAGGATTGTCTCATAATAACACTCATTTGATCATCTAACAAGCAAGTATAAGCCATAAAATTATCAGCTCCCCAAATACAGTGCTTGAAAATAAAGTGAAAGAAATTAGTTAAGCATACAAAAACCAAAAGACACCCATATATATGGTGAAGATCAGCTATTAGCTATGAAGCTGATAAATTTTCAGAAAGGCATTTCGTATATCCTTTTGGATCCTCTTACTTATCAAGAGATGAAAATTTATCGACTTCACGGCTTTAAGAAGATTCTCCTTCCTTATTACAACGTAACACTCCTACTTGAAGATATAAAAAAGTGATCCTACTAGAACTCTGATAATTGTTGCTAGCACGCAATTTTCAAAGTGCCAATAGCATCAGCCCCTGCATACTCTCATTGGTAATTAGCTACGATCAATGCATGATTTCATCTTCAGAACCTGTAATACATTCTTTCTCATCATGATCGAACCGTTCAAGCCACGCTGGTTTTGGAGAATGGCCACTTCCGAAAGAGCGAATGTGGTCTTTGAGTGATCGTTTATGCTTAAAATCCGATCCACAATTGCAGTACCACAATTTGCCACAGTTTTTCTCATGTGTCCTCCAATCCCCCTTGACCGCAAACCTTTTTGTACAAAATTTCCTACACGTAAACGGTTTAGCCCCATGCTTTCTCTTGTAGTGTGTCTGGAGAGTACGGAAATCTTTCAAGGGCTTGGCTCGAGGGTGGTTGATATTGTTCTTGCACCCTGGAGCACAACAATAACATGGAAGTCTTAGCATGGCTGCTGGTTGTGTCCCTTTCAGTGATTCCGGTCCTTTCCTATATTCAGATCCATGCCCCCACATGTGCATCTGTATCCATATACGTCAACAATCATAAATATCAATCATGAAAAGTCTCCAACCTTAATTTGGCATTCCAAAAGTATTTAAGTCGGAAAATATTAAGTAGTAAATTAAATCAGAGATCCAACAGCCATTGCAAGAGACTAACATAGATGTAAAAACAATCGGCATCAGACTTGATCCAATCATTAAAGCATTATGAATTATGTTGTATTACACAACCGGACAAAACTAGCTATACTTTACTAAATGATTGGTTTTGTGATAGCTTCTTTCGATTGATGTTCGTACTATTATTGATCAAATCCTCATGACCCATGACCCTACTTCATATAATCCGATGGACGAAAGAACGAACAAGAGATTGAGTGAAAACATTCACTGAAAGCTATAGGGATTTGTGTACGAAATTCAACAAAGAAACAGGGCAACTTTAATCATCCCAATGATATGATGGCAAAAACTCATGGGCGTAATAGTAAATTACAAAGTTGGGCAACATTTCAACGTAAACTTGGTCAATCAGTCAGTCTTCCACTACCATAAAGCTTCTCATTTTTTATCCTAATTTCAACTACTCAAGGGATGTCAATGAATTTTTCAATAAAGTGCTACAGTATCTATTAATACAGGAGGTCAAATTCATATTACTGTTCAATCTTAATTAGTAATTTATCTGAATTTTCATGATAGATGAACGACTGTGTTCTCATATATTAACACAAAAATGAAATGATTAATTTCAATTTTCAGTTATAAACATTTCCATCTCGAATTACTTTGAGATATACACAATACCATGATCTTGATTTCGCTGATTATTCTATTTGTGCTACATTTAAAAAGAAAAAGAAATATATTGAAATTTTATAATTTATGCTACAATCGTGCTAATTTAGCAGTATCATGTGACGCAAAATATATATGATGCAACAAAGATGGAAAATCTTAACGGAGATAAATAATGGAAAAGGTTAATTAATTACCTGCATGTTGTTGTACCTATTAAAGCTCTTGTTGCATAACGAACAAACGAATTGCATAGGTCCAACAAGGATTTGGGATTGTGTCGGTATCCAGAACCTAGTCTGATCATGATTATTGTTAACTGTATATCCATCGTTATTAGTAATATTAAACTGCACCTTCATATCTGAGTTCTTCTGATCATCTTTTTCTTCCTTAAACTCATCGAAGAACTTGTTAGTGATCATTGAATCTCTTGCAATTTCTGTACCATAACTTGGTAACCCAATGTGCAGTGCCACCGTCACTTTCTGTAAGTTATAATCTTCCTCCTTGATCTTCAAAACTCTGTCTTTTTCATCTTCACCAAGTAGTTGACTGAGTAGGGGTAGGCATTGAATAGTTTTGTGGGGGAAATCTTGTTCTTGATTGTGGTGATGATGGAGTTTAGAGAACATCATGGTATCATATGATGACGATGACGATGATGATGATGATGATGATGGAGGAGGAGATGGCTTGAGCCATTCAAAGAAGGGTGGAGCTTCAAAGCACATTGTGTGTTATTGCCATTAGAGGAGAAAAGAGAAGGGAATTAGAAAGGGTGTGAAAGGATAGGTATAAAAGGTTGATTTTTACATATCAATGAAAGGTGGTTTGGTTTAGTCTTTTTGGCTTTCTTTATTTATGCCTTTAAGCTGCTTGTACATGTTCTAGAGAAAGACATTAGTGGTGGTGGTCGATTGCGAAAAATGGTTTATTGGCAGAAAAGGTCCCTCGGTATAACAAGTTTCTTACAAACAGTCTGCTTACATAGTTACATAAAGTAGTACAAAGATGTGGCATGATAGCAGTTTCATGAAACCATTGGTTACATAATCCTTTTTTATATTATAATGTTCGTTATACTCATTTTATCACACGAGTTTGAACGAAACGTCATCAGGGTCGCATTCAATTGACGAGATAAAATTTCGTCTAGAAACAAATAAACCGTTGAATGGTATGGATTATAAGTTGGGGTGTAAAATATAAACACTAAAAAAGGTGAGGTGCTATTTGCAAAGTTAACAAAGCCTTGAGAAACCCTACCATCATTAATACAATAAGGTGATGTAAGATAAGTAGTTATCATGGAATTTAACCAAAATGTTCCACAATTTTTAGGTCTTTGCCACTAAAAATTAAAGGAAATATGATGAAAATTAAATACTTGGTCAAACAAGAGTTGGTCAATGCCTGTTCATTAATTTGTATGGCAAGTCAAGTAATTAGTAATTTCAGGATATTAATTAATTAAAAATGGAAATGACCAAAATTTATGTGGTTGAAGCTCTGAATGTACAACAAAATATGCATATGGTACAAGAGAAAAATATGAGTTTTTCTTCAACAATTGCTGCTATTATTACTTTTAGTCAACGAATGGCTCATCATTCTGCGAAAATTGATCACTTTTTGTGGACTTTTGGTCAAAATTCAATTTTCCATAATCAACGCACCATTTTATTTCATTTCCTTTTCATTTGTTTTTGAAACCATAAAGTTTTTTAATTCATCGCACCATGAAATAAACCCTTTATCGGATATTGATTTTCTTGATTTATAAGCTTTTTAGATATTTATAAAGTTAATTAACAAACAAGGAAATGCATGACAATGTAATTTGGCATTTTATAAATTAAAAAACACACACACATACACACTAAACCAAACATGGAAATGAGGCCCGTCTGTCGAAGAACCCGATGTACCTGTCCTGACCCCACCAAGACAGGGATAGACCAGGACAGGATTGGGTAACGTGATCCCCAACCCTTGTCGTCTCTATATATTTAACATATTATATATTTATACTATTTTGATTATAATTTTTGTTTGCGTGTTTTTGATTTAATGTTTTTGGTAATGCTGATTTGGTTTTATTTGAATTTGAATGTTGGTAGTCACTGTTGACACTTAACAACGCTTATTCTGTTTGCAAATTTGAATTAAAAAAATTCATCGATTCCCGGCTGCTAACAAGAAGGGTGTGGATGTGATCATATTTCCCAGCAGGAACAGGGATGAAAATTAAGGATCTTGTATCGGGGACATGTCACCTGGATAAGGATTGAGGTCTCTGTCCCATTCCAATGCCTACATTAAGCAAGTTGGTTTTTGACTTATTGAGTAAACCTTGTGTTAATATAAAAATAAAGCATGTTTTATCAAAATTTCACAAGGGTATAGCGTCCAGTAGGGGTGCTCATGGGTTGGGTTGATCGGGTTGAAGACATTTGAACAACCCAACCCAATGCTTGCAGTTTGAAAAAATCTTAACTCAACCCAAACCAAACCAACTGCAATCCAACCTATACGGGTTGGTCGGGTTTATACTTTGGTACGTTAAAGTATTCTTTTAACCTTGAATATGTTATTTCTCTACTCATAATTTATTTTTCATCATCAACCATTTGATACAATTTATCCATATTTCTTACGTATATCACATTCAGTTAATTTTCTCAATTTACATATATATGTTCACAATTACTGAACATATATACGAATGAATTATATATAGATGTGAATAGATTGAAAATATTTGTATATGAAAAGCATACATGATAGTGTAAATGTGTAATGTATATATTAATAGAAATTCAACAATCATATTAACTCCAAGAAATAAAAAGGATATCGGGTTCATCGGGTTCAAATAGTTGTAACCCAATATCAACCAAATACCTACGGTTTGACAATTTTACAACTCGATTAGACATTGGGTTGCTTCGGGTTGGATTATTTCATGTTGGGTTGGGTTGGATTGACCAGGTTGGTCGGGTTTTTGAGCACCCATAACGTCCAGTGCCTAACTAAACAGATGTAACTTATATTTCAGTTAAGATTTTGACTAAATGATCTCATTTTAAAGAAACTATTTTCAAATAAACCAAAATAAGACATAGGCCATATATATAGCCATGCCATCATTTTGGTTTGTTAACAAGATAATAACCATATATGTCTTTCTATATAGAAAAACAAACATATGCTTTTTGAATGCTTAATTCTTAGTGATTCAAACTTTGACCTTCTTAATTACATATAATATGGAGGAAATCATTGAGTGGTGAAGAAAAACACAATGTGAAACTAAAAGTTAAACCATCTTAGTAAATAAAGAAAGAATCTCGGTCTTTGTTTTGAGTTAGGTCTTTAATGGGTCATTTGAGTTGGATCACGCGTCCGGTGTCTCTTACTTCTGTTAATTAGTCGCATTAGGCCTAACAAAATAATGTTGCTTTGAGTTTTCATGTTAAAAGTCTGAAGATCGCGAATTACTTCATGTAATAAAACGAAAATATTATCTTATGCAACAATTATATTTTTGAAATGTCAAAAAACAACTCAGGTTTTTTTTATGTATTTATCTAAAATCGTCGATTTTTATTTTAAAATGAAATATTATCTTATATTTAATTTGTTTTCAGATGATATTCATAAATGTGCAAAGATATCATAAGGTTTTGCATAAGTCAATTTTGTGTGGTTAAATTGTTTGTGTTGTGACTTCTGCAACTTCAGTATTCGAACAATTTATGTGTTGTTTATAACTTAATTAATTTAATTGTTTAAACGACTTGATAAATAAGCTGGTGTATTACTATTTAAGCTATCAAGGAGCTGTTTGATTAGTTTTCCATTAAGTCATATATGGATAAAGTTGTTTGTGTGGATTAATTTGTCTGTATAGATTGATAATGTTTTTGTTTGAAAAGTCTTTTCTTAGATAGAAGGAACATGTTTTTAATTTGGGAGGGACATATTTGGAAGAAATGATGTTTGACTTTCTCCATAAAGTTTCCTCCTATAAGCTCCGCAAAATTTCGGGTCTTCCTTTTGATCGCCGATTACTCGATAATTTCVACAAGCACAAATTCCACTTTAGCTTTAGTTGGTCGTGACCAAGAAACCACCGGTTTCGCTTGGTGGGCCGGGAATGCCCGGTTACTGGATTTGTGAGTTATGTATAACTGGCTGAATAATTTACGAGTATCGTTAAGTTGCTAACAAACATGCCAGAGGAACTGGATGTGTGAGGGATGGTTAACGTTAAAGACAAGGCATACACTTAATGTATGTATATCATTTAGAGGGAGGGTCAAATGAGGACACATATAGCTAGTAAAAATAAGAAAACACAAAAATTGTCAAAATTACATTTGATTTTGCGTTGTAATCACATGCAATTATGAAACATATGCAAAGCAAAGATGAGCGCCCAACTTCGCCTACAACCTCGGGTTGTAGCCAAAGTCACGTGACTCACATGTGATTTTAGTATAAAATCATACGTTCTAGTGTTATTTTATTTGGTTATTGTTTTTATTTGAACCTGACTCTCTCTATATATATTTATACATGCATTTAATATCAATTTATGTTATATATAATATTACTTTAATTTTAATTTATTACGTAAAATAAAAGAAAGAGCAAAAAAACTAAAATAGTTCTCACGTAAGATATATATATATATATATATATATATATAGACTTGGGATCATGTGAGACCAGCCTGTTTTCGTGAGACCCGTGAGACCCGTGAGACCAACATTTTACACTTGAAACTTCACAGCAAAATGCTGTGAAGGTGACTTTTTAAAACCTTCACAGTGTTTTTGCTGTGAAGGTTCAACTTTTTTTAAACCTTCACGTGTTTTTGCTGTGAAGGTTACGTGTAAAAATGTGGTCTCACGGGTCTCACGAAAACAGGCTGGTCTCACGTGAACCCAACCCTATATATGTATATGTATATAGGTACACACATATATATATATATATATATACACACACATATACATACATATCTATACTATATTATAAATCATTTGATAAAAACTCTTAAAAACCATTTTTTATGTATGAAATATTGTTTATTTATGCATATTACTTAAAATTCAAAATTACAAGTAAATTATGCGTAAGTACAACTTATTAAATTTTCATGTTTGAATTCGTGTAACTAACTGCAGATAAATATAATCAAATAGAGGATAATCATCTTATTTTAAATATAAAAACCTAAAATATAATTAAGATAATTATTTAGTTCTAACAAAATACTTAATTATTATCTTTATAAAAATTATATTATTAAACAAATAAAAAAGAATTAAAAAAATACACAAAAAATGAGAAATTTTAAATAGTTAGTTTGATACTAATATAAATATTTTTTTTCAATTTTTTAATTGATATATCTCCATATTTATATTTTATTCAAAAACGAAAACATTATCATTTTCTCAAAACCATATAAAATTATATTATAACATCAACTGAGACAAAAAAAAAACGAAACATTAAAATCGAGATGTATCTCGCTGCATTGATCGAGTACCCTTCTAGTGTGTGTGTGTATATATATATATATATAATCCTAGACTAACATAAATCAATGATAGATGTCATTTTTTTATTATGGGCTCTATTAAAGAACAACATTTAGAGAATCATCTATAACATTTATATATAAAAAATATTTCTAAAATATATTTGAATGATTCAATTGAGGATTT